TTCCCCTCAGAAAGCAACACCACATAAACCTGGAATACCGGAGTGATGACATTCATGGCTCTGTGCTGCCACTGTCACCATCCTTGTCTTGATGCTGCTCTCCTGGGGCTCTGCCCTGGCTGTCAGAGTAGGGAGCTGCTAAAAGGAGAGTGGGAGTGGAGTGACATCAAGCAAAAACTGCTCCGAGTGGGTAAAAAAAAAAAATATATAAAGTATTGGAAAAAGGAGCTTTAGAGCATTGTGTAAAAGCCAAGCACAAGGTGGTTCCTCTGGATTTTGCTCTCGGTGCTGGAGGCTGCCCCTTCACCATCCTGCTCATCACCAGAGGGCTCTGCTGCTGCTCCACTTGCCCTGCAAAGCCTCTGGGAGAGGCGGCTGTGTCTGGAATTGATTATTTTTAACACCGAACTTGATAAAAAATTGGGGAAAACAGCGTTTTAGTGACATATGGTGCTGCGGGGAGAGGTTGTTATAACCTGCACCTTTGCACAGACATTGCACTGCCTGAGCTCTGGCTGCTGCAGGAAAAACACAAACACAGGAGGTTTAAATCTGAGCCCTGCTCAGTGTAAGGCTGCAGAGCAGAATGATTTTCTGTGCTCTGCAAAAATGTAGTGCAGGAAAGAAGGAAAGGAATTCCTCCAAAGCTCTTCCCTTTCCCTCTCCTCTGGCTTCCTGAGATATGGCAAAAAAACACACATTGGAGTTGGATTTGATGATCCTAAAGGTGTTTCCCAACCTCAAAGATTCAGTGATTGCTGTGTAATAAAGTTGTTTTAAACCCTTCAGAGTGGTTGGTACTGAGGTTTTCTGCTGGGTGAGGTTGAGCTGTCCTGCCTTTCTTTGCCCTTTATGTTTTTTCCAACCCCCTGTTCTCAGTGTGGTGTCACACAAAGATTTTATTCTCCTTATGGAGCACCCATCCCAGAGACAAGGGGAGCTCTCCCTGCCCTCAGTGAGGGTTGCCATGAACTGATTAAATCCTTTCCTTCAGCACAGCACCGTTCCTCTCAGCTTTTTAGCCTGCAGTAATTTCTGGCTGGTCAAGCACAGAGGGTGGAAAAGCAAGAAAAGCACCAAGAAAAGCACCAAGGTCTTGGATTTTGATGGCAACAAGCCATGGGGGTCTTTGGGCCCATCTGCAGCAGCATTTGGGGTCACTGTAGGCATTTCTCCTGCAGTTATTTAATAATATTTGCATGAAGGATGCTCCTTAAGGGCCCCTGGGCACAGGAGGGTGGAATTTCTATGAAGTTCAAAGCCAGGGGGAGTTTGAGGACTTTTGTAAAATCTCTGTTGACACAAATCGTTACAAGACTTATTTAATGCTTGAAAAGCAACTTTTGATCAGGTCTGAATATCAGGCTCAAAGTGCTTCTCTTTTCCTCATCTTTAATAACATCAAACCTTCAAACCTTAGCAGGGTTTTGCTCATCTACAGCCTCAGCATGAGAAGCTGAGTGAAGATTTTTGGGGTGAACTTGCAGCTTTCCTGGTGCTGCCAGAGCAGGAGGGGACTGGGTGAGCTGCAGCTCCGTGTTTTCCAGGAGGAGGAGGATGCTCCAAAGGTAGGAATTTATAAAAAGAATAAAAGGAAGATAAAAAGAGCAAGTCCAGACTTGCTGGTGCACACGAGGGTTGATGTGAGCAGCAGGGGTGGTGCTCCTTACCCACTCATTTTCTTTTTTTTTTTGCCATCAAACTTGAGTTGCTGAAGTTCTCAGCTTTCCCCTTGTGGAATTTTTTCTCCAGTGCTGGGGCAGTGATGTTTGGGGAGGGGGAGATGGTGATGCAGCCAAGGAAGCTCTGGAAGGGCTCTGGAAGAATGAACCAAGTCCCCAAAAAGGCTGCAGGAGGAGGAGGAGGAGGAGGAGGAGGAGGAGGGTGGCTCTTCAATCCCTGCTGTCCGAAGTCCTTGGAAGATATTGCTCAAGTCTGGCCGGTCACAGAGGAGATTCCTGTCTCCTGATTTTGCTGTGATGCCTTTTTTTATTGCTGAGGTGACTCAGCCACTGGAATGTGGGGCTGGAATTGTGGTGACACCTCAGGGAAGTGCAGTGAGGGGCTCCACAAAGGCTCCTCAAGCCTCATCCCCAGCTCTGGGAAAGGAGGGGATGTTGTCACAGCTCCCCAGCCTGGCAGGTTGCACAGGGAGGAGGCAGGGAATTCAGAGGTGGCTGAATTTAGCACTTTGGGATGGTGCCAAGCACAGATCTGCAGCCCAAACATTGCACGCTGTGGGTGCTGCCAGTCCCACACACATCAGGCCACAGAAATCACAAGGCAGGGAACCATGGGCATGTGGGTTGTTCTGCTCTGGGAACAGGATCTCTCCTGCCATGGAGCTTCCTGCCCTCTAGATTGGTTTCCTCCACATTAATTTGCCATCAGGAAGAGAGGAGCAGCTTTCTGATTATTATTTTCCACTGAGCAGCTTGAAATCGCTGTTTTAAAGTTATTTAATTCTTAGAGATCAATTATCTTTTGCAGTGGGCTGTGTTTTCCCCCAGCCCTGTACCAGCTGCAGTGAAGAACATCAACCTCCCCCAGCCAGACCCAGCCTGTTAGATATCATTTGTTAGATATCACCTGGCTCTTGCCATTGGAAAAACGCTGGGAATTCTAAAATGGGGAAAGTAACTCGTGCTTAGAGTGTTTGGCTGCAGTGAAGGGCAAGTTGAGAGCACATCCCCAAGAAATGGGGTGGTCTCATGGCTCATTCACCTCCCTGGATCCTCCATCTCCCACCCCCTGGGTGTGCAGTTTGGGAATTTAAATCATCCATGGTACCCAGGAGGGTTTTGGTTTAAATTGAGGGTTCTGTAAAGCAAACAAGATACTTGGGAGTGCTTAAAAAAATCCAAACCCACAGAATATATCGATTTTTGAGGCCTGACTAATTCTTTACCCACTTTGGAAGAGCCAGGGTTGCATGGCTGGGCATCACAACGCTGTGAGTGAGGAGATCTGTGTCTTACATCTCCCTCAAAGGCAGGGTGTTCCAGCCCTGCTCTGATGACTCCTGGCAATAAAACCAACATTTCACTCCCTGGATCCCAGGAGGCAAAATTGAGAAGCTCAATGGCCACACCTCGGTGTCCTGTGAGTCACCAGGGGATGACTCAGATGAGGAGCATCTCTGGCTCTGTGTGCAAAGGGCCCCAGCACCCACCCCGTGCTTGCTGAATCAGGGAATCACGGAATGGTTTGGGTTGGAAGGGACCTTAAAGATCATTTCAAGCCATTCCTGTCACGGGCAGGATCCACCAGACCATGCTGCTCCAAGCCCCATCCAACCTCACTCATCATCCTTGCTGCAGCTTGGTTCATTTAAATTAAGGAATTAATTAGATCTGGTTTTGATTTCTGTATTCACTGACTTTTGGTCAAATGTTTTTCTTTAACATCACATGTCTGTTGCATAACTGGAAGCACAAACCTTATGACATCGGAACCTTAAAAAAACAAAAAAGCCACCAAAAAACCAGGCAAACCTTTCTGGTTGATATTTGAAGCTTTTGAGTAAATTCCTGAAAATAGCAATAAAGGTTTTCCATGGAAATTTCTCTTCCCAAAGTCTTCTTGAGGGAATCTTAGGGAGGAAACCTGTGCACTGAGGAATTCCTACTGCCTTGTTTGTGTTACAGGCTCAGGAAGCTCCAGCTCCTCATGCTGTGGATCAGGGATCCTTCAGCTTTACTGGCTTGGGTCCTCTCCAGGTCCCTTTGCCCTAAAACACCTCCAAAGTTATTGCAGTGTCTGTTTACTGTGGGTTGGGTGCTGTGAGAGGCAAGTGAAGCAGCACTCCCTAATTAAGAGCATTTCTTATGTACTAATATTGTTTCTATATTTTACTTAATACATATTAAGCATAATATGCATATTTCCCTGAAATACTTAATTTCCAGCCACTCCTATGGGCATCCCTGGCATTTTTACACCCTCAAGTTCAGTCTGAATCCCTGTGACAAGTATTACATGAAGCTGAAGGAGGTTAAAATCCAATCTGGAGCCTCAATGGAGAGGAGGCTGTCCTCTTTTAAGCCAGATTTTTAGATAAGCAGAACTGAACCAGAGTAATTTATACTAAAATTAATCAGAGCTAATATTAACAGATTTTTGCCCCTTTTTATTATTTTTATATCAGCTGTAGTATCAGCTGAGCCCTTTAGCTGAGCTGCTGCCTAAAAGAAGCAGTTTCTACATTCTACATTCTACATTCTACATTTGTGCAATGACACCAATTAGAGGGTGCCTCCCTTAATAACCTTTGGTCAGCCCTAAATTGGTCAGGGCGGTGGATTAGATGGTTGTTGTGGGTGTCTTCCAACTGAAATCCTCTCTTCTGTTTGATTCTAATCTCGCCCATTCCATCCCATTCCATCCCATCCCATCCCATTCCATCCCCTTCCCTTTCCCTTCTCCCAGCAGCACGGTGCAGCAGATTGGGATTTCGGCACAAAACCACCTTGTTCTTTTCCACTGCTTTAAGCCATGGGGCCCATGGAGCAAACCAGAGATGATTCACCCTCAGCTTCAAATAAAATCGGGCTTGTTGAAATTCCAGCTGCCTGGAACAGCTTCCCAGAGCCCATCCTCTGCCGGCCTCGCTGTATGAAGTGAAAGCAAAGCTCTTTTTTGGCTTTTATTTTTTTCATGGGGAAGGAGAAAATGATCAGAATTTAAAATCCAATTGGTGTTTTACCGAGCTTCACTAAAGCTGGGGGGATGGAGCCGTGAGACACATCTGGCAAGGAGAACATCTGGCAGCGGCTCCAGGTGGGCAGGGCAGGGAAATGGGAATTGCCGGGCGAGGAAGGCACAAACAGTGAGAAAAAACAGCTGATTCTCTGCTAACACCCCCCGCTGGTGATGTCACCGCTGATGAGGGGAAGCACAGAGCTGTTCTGGGCTGTCACGGGTGTCCCCAGCCCGGGAACCCTCCCGGTACCGCCCCGTCCCCGTCCCCGCCTCCGCCCGGGCGGGTCCCGGTGCGGGAGCGCAGAGCGGAGCCGCCGCACGCAGGTGAGAGGATGCGGCTCCCGCGGGGATCCCGGGGGGAACGGGGGGGAAAAGGCACAAAAAAATCCTTGGGAAGGAAGGGTTTGGGGTGCCCTGGTTCCCTGCCAGTGCCGGGTGGGACACGCGGGCTCTGCGGTTTGGGGCGCACGGAAATCCCTCGCTGGTTTTAGGGATAATGGTGGGATGGTGGCTGTGAGGAGCTCCGGGGGTGTTTGCAACTCGTGGGGTGCTGGACAGCCCTGTTTGCACCCCAAAATCCCTGTGGGATGGGAGTGGGAGTGAGGGAACACCCAGAGGAGCAGCTGCAGGAATAGCACCCAAGGGGAGAGAACTGGTGTTTCTTTCCCAAATAGAAGTTTTATTTTCCCACTTGGTGTGAACACAGGGAATGTTTGGGGCCAGCTCTGGGATGTTCCCTGCAGCTGATCCTCTGCCGGGGCAGGGGGAGCTGGAGTGAGTTCGAGCTCAGCTGCCCAAATGCTGCTGGAAATCAGAGCTCAAATGAGGATGAGGAGCGGCTGAAGGAGCCGGGGGGGTCAGCCTGGAGAAAAGGAGACTCAGGGAGGACCTGGCTCTGCACAAGTCCCTGACAGGAGGGTGGATCTGGGAGGATTCAGACTCTGCTCACCGGGAACCAGAGACAGTATGAGGGGAAATGGCCTCGTGTTGCACTAGAGGAACAACTAGAGGAGGTTTAACTGGATATTAGGGAAAAATTCTTAATGGAAAGGTTTGTCCAGCCCTGGCACAGCTGCTCAGGGCAGTGGTGGAGTCCCCATCCCTGGATGGATTTAAAAGCCCTGTGGATGTGGCACTTGGGGACACAGTGCTGGGGGATGGTTGGACTCGCTGGTCTTAGAGGGTGCTGTGAATCTCTGCAATCCATCACTGGTGAGAGAAAACCCCTTCCCATGGCAGCTGGCAATAACCCAGAGGGGCATTTCCAGAGCTCCACCACTGCAGTGACAGAGAGGAGGTGACACTGGGCTGCACCCTTTGGTGCCACAGCATCAGTGGGATTGGGGGATTTTGGTTACCAACTCCAAACTGTCCAGAGCTGTCCCCAGACCTGTCCCCAGGGAGACACGAGGCTGTGGCCACCCTGTCCCACCAGGGGCTAAGGGAACAGAACTGCAGCTCCCTGAGGTATTCCAGGGGAGCGGGGGGATCGTGCAGGACCTTCCACCAGGGCAGCACAATCCATGGAGCAAACCTGACCTGGCTGCACCCAGGTGTGTGTGCACCCCTGCCTTCACCTGCCGAGCTAATGGCAAACCCGAGGGCTTTAGAAAGAACCCACAAGGCAAATAAAAGCTTTGGGAGGTGTGGGCTGCTCAAACACTCCGGGCTGCTGAATTCTGCTGGGAAGGCTCCTTAAAAACCCCGTGGGCTCAGGAGAATGAGCGTTTTGTAAGGACGAGGAGTAATTTGCTAATTGTGAAACTTGGGGGTTTGTTATTCCTGAGGCAGGGCAGCCACACCTCCTGCGAGCTTTGTGCATCCCAATGTTTCTTTCAAAGAGAATTTGCCTCCTCTGTTTTAAATTTGGAATTTTCCATTTCCTTCCCTGTTTCTGGCTCTCCTTTTTCCCTTCCCTTCGATGGGAGGAGCCCAGCTCGGGCTATTCCTGTGCACAGACAGGTGTGTGTTCGGCCAGGCCGTGGTGTGGGCTCACAAAACTTGCAAAGCAGCTTTAATCTGCTTTTATCTTTTATGTTTTTTATCTTTTTATCTGCTGGCCCGGAGCCGCTGTGTCCCTCCCACGGTGTCCTCCAGCCGGAATGGGACAACTCTGGATGCACGGGAGGAGGAAGGGACCTTCATCCCTGGCTGCCACCCTCCTGTCCCCGTTCCAGGCCATCCCCATGTGCTGTGCTGGATTTGCAGCTCCCGCACAGCTCCTGGTTGATGCTGTGCCTGCATCCCCCGGGGATCCCGTCTGGGGTTTTTTTTAATGGAAATACTTTCCTGGATGGCGCCTCAGGGCTGGGGAAGTGAATAACACTGGCAGTGTTGTAAGCTCAGTGGGGGATTTCGTGCTGGATTCACCCCAGAGCACTCGGGCTGCTCACAGCAGTGACTCCCCTTTATCCCGCAGGTGTTGGACCAGGATCTGTTCTTTGGCACCGGAGCTGTCGGCTCTGCTGGGCAGGTATGTGATGGGAACTCAGCAATTCCCATCAATTGCCACTCTAAACTCTAACTCCCCTCAAAAACTCTGTTTTTTGGATGATGCAGGTTAAAAATAACTGATGCTTCTTTTTTTTTTTTTTTTTTTTTTAAGGAAAAATGTCAGACGGTTTCTCTGTAAGTATGCATTTCTTTAAAAACCCGTGGGGGCTGTGGCTGTGGCCTTGAACAGAGACCTTTGGCTGGGATGGGAGGGAGCACATCCTGGCTAAGCTGTGTAAACCCCCAAACCCTCTCCAGTTATGTCAGGTTTTCTGGAACAGCTGAGGGCTGAGCTCTTGCCCTCGGCCATGCTGCCAGGCTAACAAAGATGGACTTGGGAGAACTCAATGTGATCCCAGGAGGAATCTCCCCCACCTGACCCTTGTCCTCTCCTCTGTCCCCAGTTATCTGATGCCTTGGCCAACAGCAACAACCCAGCCCCTTGTGCCAACCCAGCCCAGGGCTGGCCCTCCTGGGGGAACCAACCAGCAGCTCCTGGTGCATTCCCAGGGTATCCTGGAGCACCTGGAGCCTACCCTGGAGCACCTGGAGCCTACCCTGGAGCACCTGGAGCCTATCCTGGAGCACCTGGAGCATACCCTGGAGCACCTGGAGCCTGCCCTGGGGCACCTGGAGCCTATCCTGGAGCACCTGGAGCTTATCCTGGAGCACCTGGAGCTTATCCTGGAGGCCCAGCAGGACCAGGAGCGTATCCAGGAGCACCTGGAGCATTCCCTGGACCACCAGCACCAACGGGGCCGTTTCCTGCCCCAGGACAACCACCCAACCATCCTGGATCTGGGCCTTCTGCTCCACAGGAAGGGCCAGCTCCTCCTCAGGGAGGACCAACTCCTCATGGAGGACCAGTCCCTCCAATGGTAATGGCTCTGTCATCAGGAGGGTTTCTGGGTCTTCAGTGGCTGATTTTGCTTGGCCACGGGAGGGGCCTGGTCTGGCTGTCCCCAGGGGTGGCACTGGGCTTTTGACACGATTTTTTACTGACACCAAATCCCTGCTGTCCCCCAGAAAGTCCCCTTTGAGCTGCCCCTGCAGGCAGGAGTCGTCCCTCGGCTGCTCATCACCATCACTGGCACTGTGAAGCCCAACCCAGACAGGTACTGGGGGTGTCCAGCTCCGAGCGTGGGGGGCTTCCATGGGGCACTGCTGGGTGGAGCAGGGGGGCTGGAGCTTGCTTTCCATTCCTGAATAACACCTGCCAGGTGTAACATCAAATATTACACTTAATAAATGTGTAAATGTGCTGTTGTTGGCCAGTGAGGTCTGTGGGGTTTTCTTTCTGCTTTCTGTATCAGAGTCCAGGGCTTTTGTGGCAAAAGCAGCAATTCCATTATTGTTTTTGCAGGTTTTCACTGGATTTCAAGCGAGGGAATGACATTGCCTTCCACTTCAACCCCCGTTTCAATGAAGACCACAAGAAAGTCATCGTCTGCAATTCTAAATTCCAAGATATCTGGGGGAAGGAGGAGAGGACAGCTCCCAGGTTTCCATTTGAAGCTGGAAGACCCTTCAAGGTACCAGAAAAACCCATCCCAGCTCAGTCTCAGTGCACCAAAAGCGCTGGGAGGGTTCGGGCAACAAGACCTGTGTAAGGACATGGATGCTTTTGCACAGGAATCAGCTCCCAGGGGTATTTCTGGGACAGCCACCCTGTGTGCTGCCCTGGCTGTCCCTACAGAACCTTCCCAGCACTTCTGACCCCCTCCTGCAAGCTCCAGCTGCCCAGGGCATAACTTCTCCCCCCTTCTGGTATCCCCAAGGATTATGAAACCCTCCTTATTTACACTGTTGTTCTGCACAGTGGTTGGACAGGTTTCTGTAACATGTTTTCCCTGCTGGCAGCTCTTCACCAGGTGTTTTTTCCTACATAGGAGGTTCACACTGTGGAGTCTTGCTTTGAGGGACTGGCATAGGGATGAGGAGACAGAAACTGGGCTAAAACACAGAGAAGGGAGAGTACAGGAGAGTTTTGGGAAGGCAAAGGTCACTGGTGTTGCAGCTGCTTGTCCACATACCCCAGGGCTGGACTCAGCCTCCAGCCTGCTCGAGTGTGGCTTAAAACTTCTTGTAGAACAAATCCAATTGGGTTTTGGGGCTGATTTGGGGTTTTTATTTCAGCTCCAGATCCTTTGTGAGACGGATCACTTCAAGGTGGCTGTGAATGATGCTCACTTGCTGCAGTACAACTTCCGTGAGAGGAGGCTGAACGAGATCACCAAGCTCTGCATCGGGGGGGACATCACCCTCACCAGCGTCCTGCCCGTCATGATATAACTGGGAGGGAGCTCTGGGCAAACCCTCTGCTCTTTTATGGTGTGACACAAGTGCCTTCTCACCACATCACTGTGAGGTAATAAAACATTTAACCTGTAAGATTTGGTTTTAGTTGTATCTCAAAATACACGATACCCTCTGGGCAAGCTGAGTTCCTGCTGTAGAGACAGCAACAAGGAGCTTGATTTCTGTGGAGAGGAACTTGGGGAAGCAGAATGCAGTGGCATTCTGTCCCTGGTCCTGTGAACAGGGACAACAATCCCCTAGGAAGCACAGGGAAAACCTGACAGCCTCCAAGCCTGACCAGGTGAGGTATTTCAGGAGAGGGTTCAGAGCTGGAGGAAGCAAAATCTCTCTGCTAGACTGTGGCTGGAGAAGCCATCTCTGTCCTTCCCTTCTGCCCAGCTGGGGACCCAGCATCTTCCAGAGACATTTCCTACCCCAGGGAGATCCCATCCCATCCCTATTCCGTGGGATGGGTCACGAGCCTTGTGCTGCTGCCCACTCATCACCTCGTGTGAGTCAGGACTGGTTTCAAGGGTGGGGAGGTTTATTGGCAAGTTCACCCCATGAGTCAGGCTGGTAAAAAAAGAAAACAGAAGTATGTTCCCTTTGCTGTGAGTCACTGCAGTCTTGTCTGGAAAACAACAGTGCAACAGCCACCACTGAAGTTTCCAAAGCTTTCTCTGACGTGGCTCATGCTGTTTTATAACAGTGACTCCTTTATACTTTGAGTGCCAAGTTACAAGCAGATCCTTAAAATTTCCAGCAGATGAAGCAATCTAGAGCAGCACACTGCTACTACCAGCACGGAGAAGCTGTGGCTGCTCCATCCCTGCAAGAGTTCCAGACCAGGTTTGAATGGGGCTTGGAGCAACCTGGTCTGTGGAAGGTGTCCCTGCACATGGCAGGGGCTGGAGCTGGATGGGCTTTGAGCTTCCTCCCAACCCAAACCATTCCTCAGCAGGAAAGTCATTAAAAGATACCTGAAAGAATCCTGAAAGAACTGGAGCTCAGTAATGAAGAAAATGGATTCCAGCACACATCAGCTTCCTCTCTTTATTCAGTGTAATCAGTACACAGCTTCCAGGTTAAAACTTAAGCCAGACAAGCTCCCCTGGCAGTGGCAGCAACACTTTCTGCTGAAGGACTGAAATCTTTGCTGGGTTTGGGATCAAGGCTGGTGGAAGGATGTGTGTGTTACACTCAGGTCACCAGTACAAGAAGAAGCCCAGTGGGATATTTGTTAAAAATATAACAACTGGTGGTACTGTAATGCTACTCCTCAAATCCAGAGTCTACAGAACTGCCATGTTCCTTATGCACAAATATGTTACAGTCTGGATGGGGAATGCACAAGAACAAGATGAGAGAAGAGACTGAGCACAAACATGTCAAAACCAAGTACAAAACGTGGGTCCTTAATATACTCAATAGAAAACTGCATCCTTAAAGGAAGTAATAGTAATGCCTATTTCAATACATCACAAAGAAAAGGTATTCTCTGACTTAGAACTCCTTGTTCTGGCTTAGTTTCTGATATTACCAACCCAGTGCTTGTTAAATACCAAGAAAACTTTCCCGGGAAGGAATTGCATGCATCCAACACTGCCATAGCTGGTGTTAGCACACCAGACACTGCAGGCTGAGGGTGCAGAGGTACCCCCAGAGCATGGCAGAGTGTTCTGGGGAGGGAACAGGCTGGGTCTCGCCCCAGAAGGAGCCCTCCCAGCTGGTGGGGTGGGCACCTTGGAACAACAATAAGTCATGAGGTCAGTCGGGGTAGAAAAGTTTAAAGGCCAACAGCTTTACAGCCTGGATGAGACAGGAAATACATGAAATGATACCAACATAAAAATGCTTCAGGTTCCAGTCAGAATTTACAGCCAGAGGATACAGCAGAACACAGCCCACTAGTGACATACAGCAGAGCTTGGTGCATCACAACTGCACCATAAAATGACACAAACCCCATTATCAGATCCATTACCAAGGTACTCTTCCTCTCTCAACACACTTCCAGGGTAGCAGACTGTGTTCCAGATACCCTCTGTGGGCTTCCTGTTCACAGAATTTACATATTTTGCATTTAAAGTCACTTTTCATTGATCTCCAGAGGGACCAACAGGAGAAAACACGATGAGGTCACTGAATACTTCAGCTGCTGCAAACTTCTGGGCTTTGGTCTTGACTGGGGTGAAGGGAAGCTCAACATTCAGCATTGGCTGTGGGAAGAGACAGAGTGGAGTCAGTGTTTGAGGAACGTTTTAACCATTCTGATTTCCCCAAGAGTAATTTTGCAAGTTTATTTCCCAGGCATAAAATAAAAAGTGATTGCACATGGTCTGTGCTGAAGACAGACACTCCTTACTCAAGTCAGTAATCCGTATTTTAAAGAGGATTTTTCATAAGAAATACTACACTCAAAATCTATTAATTCTATTAAGTGTGAAAGCTTTTACACACCTGCTTTTCCCTGTTGAATGTCACTTCCAGCCCTAATTGCTAAAGTGATTAAAAAGAGTTGGAGTAGACTTAAAAAATTTCAGGAAGAAAAAAAAGGCTGTTAGTGAATATCTACAAGGAAATTTGTAAGAAACATAATTTAAAGGCTCAATCTGACAAGAATCAGACATTGTCCTGCTACAAATGTCTTGATTCATCCTACACTCATCGTGCAAAAATACCAGTGTGAGCTCAAGCAAGGAGACAGCTTGGAATGTGGTTTGTATTTAAAGTTATGTCAATTGGCTTGATAACATCTTTAAGAATTTAATTTTCTTTGTGCAGTAACTGAGTCTGCAGCAAAGGTGATCAGTCCTGCAACGTGCAGCTTGTCTTAGTCAAATAAACTTAAAGGTCAACTTACCATATCTAAAGGATTTCTGTCAATGAGTGTCAAATCACTGCATGAAACATCTGAAAAATAAGTATGATTTAAAAAAAAAGGTTAGTCTGACACTGCCAAAGCTGAAAAAACAGTACTGTTTTCTGTATTTGTTAAAAGAAGAAATCCAAACTCTAAACTGTATTTATTTCTTTATATTACCTTTCTCCTTCACATCTCACTCAAACTGTCCAGAGAAATCCAGGGGCACTGTTTGCTCACGTGCAATGTGTGTTTAAGTCACACCAGCTATGGGAGGCTTTTCTGACAGCACACACAAATCAAGCTGACATTGATTTCAGAAAGTAATATTCAGATTTTAATAAATCCTTAGAATAACCAGGCGGCCCCAGCAATGCCACCCAAACTGCACCATGCAGCTCTGAGATAAGCACCTGTCTGAAGCATCTGTGGCTCTCCAGACTGAGCAAAGTTTGTCTCCTTCTCTGGGCTGCACATGATGATGTCTTGCCCTTGTTCTGCAGCAGACAGTTCCATCTCTTCCATGCCATCCACTGCTTTTGATTCACTGCTGGAATTTCCCAGAACCTGAAAAACAGGGATTTTCTCTGTTCTCAGCCATGTCCTTGCTATGTCAGACCAAGTCCACACATCTAACCTACAGTTTTTATGGACAGTTCATGAGAGGTGGATTTTTTAACTCCAGGCACTGTACAAGGCTCAGGGTTTAAGGCTGGGATCATACCCCAAACACCCTTTAAAACCTGAAAATCCCTCTGACAATATAAAGGAAGTTCTTCCACAGGAAAGGTTTTGAACTTCAAGTGTTATCTGGTGACTTTTCCTCTAGAAAAACCTATCAGCAACACTGAAAGGTTTCCCCAGAGAGTGAAATCACCAACAATTTCTTATTTTAATAGAGAAAGGATGAAGTAAAAGGCATAAGAAAAAAATAGCAACCAGGACTTTTTTTAGTATATGTTATATGTAGGGGGATGGGAGGGGAAGTGACTGCTGCAGTCATGCACAGATCCAAGCAGTACCAAAATTTAAAGACTCCATTTCCAATGAAAGTTATTAAAGGATGACTGACTCCCAAGAATAGACTTTCACTGGTAGCACAGTATCATTTAAATTAGAGGCCACATTCCTGCTTTTTTAAGGCTACTCAAACACAGGCAATGTCACCAAGTCTTCAGACATTTCAGGACATGGATTTCTGACACCTGGATTAGTTCTTGCTATACCTTTAAGGAGATTAAGAGCCCAGTGCTCTGCTGTGGAGGACACTCTGAGGACTGAGTGCTGTTGCTTTTAGTCAGGGTCCATAAATTCACAAATATTTAAAAAATCCACACCAGAAAACAGGAGGTGGTGAAATTCTAGGAATACTGCTTGTCCAAGAGACAAGTGCCCTCCTGGAGCAGCCAGAACCTCCAAAATACAAATCTAAAGAGCAACACAAGGTCCCCAAACTGCAGCAGTCCCTACCTTTGTCCACCCAGAGGTAAAAAGCACTGCCCTGAGGAATACAGAGTTTTTTTAAGTGAGGATTTGATCAGAAGTCCAAGTGTCTGGGGTAATTAAAAGAATTTTTCCTTTGCTAGCAATAACAGAGTATTTAAAGTACATCCAAGAACAATGCATGACTTACCTTATTTCCCTCTGCTGTGCCAGCAACCAGACACATTTCTTCTGCAACCACAGAAATGCTGGAAGAGAACACAAAACATTTTCATTCTTTTAAATCATCTTCATCAATCGCCTTCAATCATCTTGTGACTTGTCCAATTAATCTCACAATTTGTTCTGCAGTTTTGCTGCCTTGGTTGGCACAGGTGAGCTACATCAAACTTCCTGGGCAAACAAACTTCTACCCCAGCAGCAAAATTACACTTGGGCAAAGCTCTTAATATTTGCTTAAGGGAAGGAAAAGTCACAAGTACTTTGCAAACTTTATCACTGCCAAATTGAAAGGTAACATTTAATGGGTTTTAACATCATGTCTTTCAGTTCCAACTCTAAAATGATTTGTACAAGGTTAATGAAAAGCTGCTTTAACATGCCTACCTTTGTTCAAGGCCATCAGGGAGTTTATCCAATGGGGGAGTTTTTTCAGTGGGAAGTTGGTCCATTTTCAGACTTTGTGCTGGGTGGAAGCCTTTGAGGCCTGATGGGGTTTGTTTTGCAGGTGCATCCTCAGGGTCACAGAGAGGAGAAGGAACATTCAAGGGCAAAGATCTAATGGATG